TCTACTTTATTCTCAGAGTGGATGAGAATCTCTTTCAAATGTATATTACTATTTCTTAGCTTATTGTTTGTGATGGCAAAAGATATTACTCTTTGTGAGTTTGGGCATTTTTTCTGTGACTATCTTTCCATCCATCTGAAACATCCCTGCCTTTTAGGCTTCTCAGTCTGAGAATGCCCAATGAGAAGAGTGATCATATTAAGCCTTCCCCTTGGGATTTAATTCAAGCATGGGAAATCATGCAGGGGGCAGGCCACAAAAGACATACTGTAAAATAGCAGTAGCAATAGCACTTAGACATATACTGATTCCCAGTGCTTTACAGCCCTCTTTTTCTGATGAATTTACGTTTTACCTACAAAGAAATAAAGGGAGACTAGTATAGATTGGGAAAGATTGAGGGCAAAAAAAGAAGGGGACGACAGAGAATGAGATGGCTGGATGGAGTCACTGAAGCAGTAGGCATGACCTTAAATAGACTCCAGAGGATGGTAGAGGACAGGAAGGCCTGGAGGAACATTGTCCATGGGGTCGCGATGGGTTGGACACGACTTCACAACTAACAACAAAATAATAAGTATAGATCTACTGTATTTCAAGTTATTAGGTCTCATCAGCTAGCCATACCCTTCTGGGATCTGAATCCAGGCTACATATCCAAGAAGGGTATGGCTAGCTGATGAGAGCTAAATAGCTTAAAATAGATCTATACTAGTCTCCCTTTATTTCTTTGTTGGTAAAACATAAATTCAACACAAAATACTTTGTCACGAAAGCGACTGCCCGTGAAGGCTCCTGGATTGGAGCTGAGAGGCAAAAGTGGAAGCAGTATCTCCATCCCATAATTGAGTAGATAAGGTTGCCCTGATAGACCGGTTTCACTGGGAAAAAAACACTTTACAGCCCTCTCTAAGTGGTTTACAGAATCAGCATATATTGCCCCCAATAATCTGTGTCCTCATTTTAGCGACCTTGGAAGGATGGAAGGCTGAGTCAATTTAAAAATGACTTGACATAGTGAAATGTCATATTAATAGACTATTTGGGAGGATGTCTATGATAAATAAATGTTTAATTGGAGAATATTCACCCACCGTGTTTTGTGTCATTTGAATGATGTAGTTGTGCAAAAGTCATAAAACAGATCATTTCTTTCAATTTGTATGATCTGCATGATGCATCCAACTTACTTTTATGTTACATTTCTCCCAACAAATTACATAATAACTGTTACTTTTATATTAGCATTTCTACATTCTAAAATTTTTCCATTCATTTTCCATTTCCTTAATAATAATAAATAAATAAATAATTTATTAATAAATAAATAATTTACAGATTTACAAATTTATATATTTGCTTCATTTATGTGCAACTTGTTTTCCTCATTTTTCTATAAAACACTTTGGCCTTTGGTGCATGTATTTTAAGATTCATATTCCTCATTGCATATTAGTCTATCTAATATTAGCATCAAATAATTTGATTCTAGCCAATAAAAGCATAATTTTCATCCACCTATATTCATATCCTCAACCAAAACACTTCTACTGTTACCCTAAACATTCTTATATTATTATTCCTATTACAAATAACCAGAGAGAGAAATTGCATATTGTTACTCCTGCAGTAGTGGATTTCAAAATCCATCACTACTGGTTTGCTCATGGGCATGTCCGTGCTCATGCATGTGTGTGATGCTTCTGCATATGCATAGAAGCATCCGGGAGAGTGGGTGGAGCCTCCCACTGCTGCCGATTCACCCGATCCAAGGCAAGCCACTAGCAACCCACCACTGACTTCCTAGTCAGTGCTGAACCACTTGCTAAGCATACCACTTATTTTTATACATGCTTTGCTTTCATCACATAAAAGACTTGTCATATTCAGCAATCAACCTTTAAATGAACATATTATCATTGATTACTTTTTATGTTAATCCAGAAAAAATATTATTTTCTTGCCACTGCATAATTCAAAGATTAATTTTAACATATTTTAATGCACAATGACAATTTTCAGGCAAAAAATGAACAGCTTTCTGCCTGCCAATTACTGAGTATGGCGTATTCTCCATTTCATCAGTCATCTTTTATCAGTTCTCACAATCTTCTGTCAATCCATATCTTTTAATTCAAATTTAATCCTGGGAATGTTCTCATAATTATAAGTTTGAATTAATTATTTCTAAAGCATTTGGAAGAAATTATACATTTTTATGGTGATTTATACTAAATTATGAAAGGTATGACATGTGTTAAGAAATACTTTAAAATATTCTATCTAATAAATCTTCAGACATATTTAGCAGCTAGATATAAAGGAGAAATTTGTTTTACTACTAGGCCAATAGTTTTCAGACTTTTTTTCAGACACATTTTTTGCAAAATTTTAAATTTTTTTTTCAAAAAATCAATATACAACTAGAAGATTTTAGTAATAATTTCCTTTTTTTTCTTCAGCCCTGACATCATTATCAAAGTCAGTTCCCTCTGAGAATAAAACCCTTAAATCATACTATTAAAGCAGAATCCCATATCAGGTCCTTGTTTCACCACTCAACCATAATCAAAATAAACTATGTGTTTGTCATCTGATAAAATAAATCAAAAGCATGGCAATAATGTAGAACAACAATGCTATATTAGCTACCAAGTATAAAAAGCTATAAATATAAGCAATCAAAGACAATAATAACTGGATACTTGAGTAATTTTTATTGTGAAAAAAGTGTGACTGGCCCAGAGGGGTTCTATATGTAAAGATAGATTTGAATATGAATCTCTAAAATTAAACATTACCCAAAATTCATGGTTACCTTGAGAAATGAAAATCTGAAAGCTTTTCTGACAACAAAAACTAAATACTGTAAATAATAATAGGAATAAAGTGTACCAAATGAAAGCCTCCACCATTATCTCCAAAATATTAAGTCATGGAGCAATAGCACTTAGATTTATATACTGCTTCAAAGTGCTTTACACCACTCTCTAAGCAGTTTACAGGCAATCTGGGTCCTTGTTTTACAGTGCCATAAGTTCAGCATGCCTGTCATGACAGGTAAAGGTAAAAGTAAAAGTTCCCCTCACACATATGTGCTAGTCATTCCTGGCTCTAGGGGGCAATGCTCATCTCCGATTCAAAACCGAAAAGCCAGCACTGTCTGAAGACGTCTCTGTGGTCATGTGGCCGGCATAACTAAACGCCAAAAGGCGCACGGAACACTGTTACCTTCCCACCAAAGGTGGTCCCTATTTTTCTACTTGCATTTTTTTACATACTTTCAAACTGCTAGGTTGGCAGAAGCTGGGACAAGTAACGGGAGCTCACCCCGTTACATGGCACTAGGGATTCGAAGCGCTGAACTGCCGACCTTTCGATCGACAAGCTCAGCGTCTTAGCCACTGAGCCACCACGTCCCCTTCTGTCATGACTATTTAGCATATTTTTATAACAATGAGTCAGATCCTTAATGACCATTTAGATCATTATAGATATTTGTACTGCAAAACTAGCAATTCAAAAGCATGCAAATGTGAATAAATAAATAGGTACCACTTTGGTAGGAAGGTAACTGTTCCATGCATCTCAGTGTATAGTCATGCTGGCTATAGCATGACCACAGAAGTCTCGGACAATGTTGCCTCCTTCAGCTAAGAAACAGAGATGAGCATTTCCCCTAGAGTTGGAGACAACTGGACTTATAGAAATGACTAGTTTATATTACTATTTAAAAAAAAAAACAAAGTTGTGGTTTGCTGTTAATGCTTTATTTTACTGCAACAGACGGAGTCGGAAGTCAATGTTTCTTTTTCATTTTCACAACCCTTCCTCACTTCTCTTTCCCCTCTCCCCCACTGTTTCCCCCCACTGCTTTCCTATTTACCTTTGTATTTTGTATCTTATAACTAAATAAAACGTTAAAACTTGGACACAACTGGACAGGAGAAACCTTTACCTTTTTAATGCATTGTCATACAAGATGATTACTTGCACATAGCCAATGAAATAGATGCATTGTGTTAGGCTTGTCTCTAAAGGTATAAATACTGTAACCTTTTTAACCCTGTCCTTAACCTATATCTTGGGAGACAGGTCCCACGATACCATAGCTAAATATTTTTCTCCTTATTGGTTAGTTTCCTTTATTCATAGGGCATAGAGTAAATGATACATAAATTGGGCTTTGCTTTTATGGAAATCTGAGTAGTGAACTTTTTGAATCAGAGGATGCTGATGTAAGAACAATGAATTCTCAGACACCTGAGGTTGCTTTGCTAGAAAGGCTGCCTCTGAGATTACCATATCAAAGGTTAGTTAAAAATAACTTATCTAGGGAGTCTTTCAAGTACAGTTTCAACGTAAAGTTCATCCTTGGAGGATAAAAAAATTGCACATAAGGATTAATCCAAGGTTGCCCTGAGATTTATCTTTGGCAGGAGTTTATAAAATAGAAAGAAAGGCTTGGCCATCACAAATAGGTGAAAAGTAAAAAAAAAAAAAAAAGTAAAGATTAATAAAAGAGGATTCTAATTAGTTCAAAGTTAATCTTTGAAGTTTTCACTGTCAAGAAAGGCAATTAAAAGAAGGCATCCTTTCTTATGTCACTTTGGCTGAGACTTAACAAAATATCTTTCACCAGTCACCTATTCTTACTGTGATATATTGTGATAAAATTGGAACTATATTTCATTAGGAAAAAAAGTGCAACTGAGAATGGTCAGTAAGGTATAGAACAACGTGCTTTCCATATATCGTTTCAAAGAGCACTTCCCTACCACTCTCAGTAATATATTAATGTAGAAACAGAAGACAAAATATGTATCTGAATACATATTCAGATATACCAGACATTTCACTTATTTTTTTCTTTTTGCTTATTTTACTTATGTATTAAATAATTTTTAATATTGAATATTATTAAATATTACATTGAATGTAAATGAATAAAATTCTGCCTGTCCTGTATTTATGTTTTGCTGTCTTTCTTTTCTTCATAGGGTTGGAATTGATCCAGATGAGGATCAAAGGATAGAAACTGCTATTCAGGCAAGTTAAAATTTAAATATAAATATTTGAAAATTTATATTCATACGTGTAGAACTGAATGCTTTAAATTTTACAATGTGTTTTCTAAGATGCTCAGGAAAATCTCCAATTCTGATTCTCAAATCAGGAAGTCATATATCTTTTGTACATTCAATAGTCATCCAGATTGTAAAATAAATTATTTTATTGTTGATGGACATAGGCTAAATAATTTCAGTTTTGATATTTTAATAGAAGAAACTCATTAGCTGTTCCTCTTTTCCATTTCTAAAAGCATTTTGGAAAATTATGTACTTTGTAATCAAAGACACTTTTATAATTCATATTCTAAATTTTAAGGAATTTCTTACACATTGCTTTGTAAATCTTCTGAATATGTCTTATTCTCATCCTTGTTTCTTGAAGACTGTTTTTAGCAGCCTTCCCCAAACTGGTTAAGAATTCTGGAAACTATATTGGGAAGTACAGATTGAAGACAGTAAGAAATGTTGAAATTTGAAACTTAAACTTTATTGCACCCAAAAACCAGCCTATAATAAATATTCAGAGTATCCATAGTTCCATCACGATTGGTAGTTAATATGGAACCAGCAACATCTAGACATACATGGATTGGATTTTTTTAGAGTCCACTTTGTAAAATCTCTCATTCTTTCTTTTATGATATGCATCAATGAAATAAGCCCATGAAAACTGATGCCACAGTATATTTTTCAATCATAAATTCAAACCCACAAATTATATAGATTTAATGATATCATAGGCATCTGGATTTGGGACAAGTAACAAAACATGTGTTGCAACTTCATTAGACACCCCTTGTTTACTTTCAAGCAGTATCATGATCCCAGTACAAAAGGCAAAACTTGCATTATGACATCCCAACACACATTTTGCATATTATTTGATGCCATTGAGGTTAAGAATACATATTTATTCCCCTGCCAACTCTACACTGGGGATCTTTACTATCAAGAACCTGAAGCCTGAAGCAGCTGCTTCATTCTATCACCAACAGTTGAGCTGGCCTCAAAGAAGAGGCTGAATAGGAAAAATAGGTTACATGTTCTCTGTTATGAGATGGTATTGTCTAAGCGCAAATAAAGGGAATAAGCTAAAATAAGAAACAATTGCTATTCCCCTAGTAGTATAGGAAATCTTTGTGGTTTTTATTGTGGTTTTATGGCTACTACTCTGGAAATAATTATTATGCTCATACATTTAAAGCATAAGGGAATATATATGATAGTTCAAATTTGTCAAATTCAAATATTGTCACTACTCTTGAGTACAATGACTTACACTCATCAAAGTGTAACTTTTTTTATGCCTAGCCTGATTTTCAGTTCTCAGTACATTTATCACTTAACCTGTCATGGATTAGTAGCTCATTTATTTCCACTTATTAATAGTTTTCCTAATGCAGAATTATGAGATCATCAATAATGTTCAGTAGTAATTAAATGCAGCCACTTCACTGTGTTTCAACTTCTCTAGAATACAAGGCAGCCTTGATGCACATCAGTAGAGATATTTAACATTATCTTCATTTATTTAACTTAAAAACACATCTTGCTTTTTTAAAAAAAATTAAACAAAAGCTTTCAAGCTGGAACTCATATTGAATATGAAATACCAATAATGGAAAAGTAAAATAAGTTGCAAACTTATTGAGAGTTTATATAGCAAACTTTAAAGCAAAAATAGAGTACCTTTTTCCACCCTGACAACCTAGTGAGATGTTGAAACTATGATTCCAAGAATGGGATAGAGGTAACCTAGCTTTTTGAAAAATAGTGGTGCTTAGACTTCAACTCCCAGAATTTTCCCACCAGCCATGTTGTAGTCTAGACATCTTAAAAATGTCAAGGAAACATTGATCAGAATACAAAATAGAATACAGAATAATAGAGTTTGAAGGGACCTTGGAGTACTTCTAGTCCAATACCCTGGTCTATACCATTCCAGACAAGTTGTCCAATTTCTTCTTAAGAAGAAGCACACACAACTTTTTAAGTCCTTCCACTGATTAATTGTTCTCATTTGATTAGTTTAATTTATTAATTAATTCTCTCTTTTATTAGTTTCCATCTGTTACTTCTTGTATCACATCCTGAATAAGTACTTTGGAGAATAGGTTGACCCCCTCTTCTTTGTAGCAGTCCCTTAAATATTGGAACACTGCTATCATGTCACTCTAGTCCTTCTTTTCATTAAACTAAACATAGATCATTGTGGGGAAAATAAAATACAGTAACTATCATTTTCTGAATAGACCAATGGCTTTCATTCCATCTTCTGGCACTGCTGTAGGAGCACTAATAATGAGGATAGGATGTTTTATACATCATTAACAACTTTAAAGTTTATAAAATAGAATCCCCACACCATACCAGAGGTGGGTTTCAGCAGGTTCTGATCAGTTTTCGAGAAACAGTAGCAGAAATTTTGAGTAGTTCGGAGAACCGGTAGTAAAAATTCTGACTGGCCCCACCCCCATCTATTCTCTGCCTCCCAAATCCCAGCTGATCGGGAGGAAATGGGGATTTTGCAGTAACCTTCCCCTGGATTGGGGAGGGAATGGAGATTTTACAGTATCCTTCCCCTGCCATGGTCACCAAGCCATGCCACGCCCACCAAGCCACACCCACAGAACGGTAGTAAGAAAATTTGAAACCCACCACTGTACCATACATGTAAAACCACTGCTTTGTAAACTGAAAGGTAGTTATCTTATGTGGGGTGATTTGCAATCACGACATCCATAAACCCTTCAATACTGCAAAAAGGATTCAGTCTTTAATAACCAATTTATTAATCTCCAAGACCAGAGATTTTTTCTGCCTGTTCCATAAGATTGGATAGAGTCAGTTGTTGAAGGTCCCATCCATTAAGGAACATCATCCAATAACACTTTAGGAGGTCCCATTTACTCTGTCATAATTCCTGCCTTCAGGAATAGATCACCTGAAAATTTGAATTTGAAAATCAGACTCTTGACAAGGGAGAAATGCAGGCTCCCTATTGACTGGTTTTTAAAGGATTTTAATGAATATTTTTTAATGCAAGATGATCATTCTCCTTTTCTATTTGTAATTCCTTTTTCTTCCTTTTCTATTTGTGATTGTTATTTCTTCTATTCCAAAAATCATTTGGAGTTATCAACAAGTACAGGAGTTTTAGAAATGTGAATTATAAATAAAATTCTCCAAGTGTTGTGAAAAGGATCTTGTTACTAAATAAGTTCATGTCAGTCCACTTACTAAAGTTATTATAAATAATTAGGTATCATTCTCTAATGTTAGTATGAAACGGCTAGAATTATTTATTTCCTTCAACAAAGAGAGGCATTCAGGGAGGACTGCTATTTGGTTGAGTGACATGTTTTAGTGAACCTCTTAAGGCACATTTTCTCAGGATAAAGATAGGCAATCTGATTCTCTTTTGGATGGCAATTTTTCTACCCCTTAACATAATCCCATCATTCATTGTATTATAACTTGGAGTTATGTTTCAATCTAAAACATTCAGAGAGCAACTAATTGCCTACTCCTGCTCAGAAATTCCTATTGTACAAGTGATTTTGTATAATAATTCTGGAAGAACAGTTCACGGGTGTCAAACTTGATCATGTCACGTGACATCACATGACATGTTGCAATGTTTTTTGCCTTTGCAGAGCCAGACTGGGCCTGGCCTGCTCATGATGCATCCAGCTCATGGGCCACCAGTTTGACACCCCGGTCTAGGTTTGCTATAACTCTCAAGAAAAAAGTGCAAATTAATTTAACAATACCTAGAAGAGCTTAATATTCAATAGAAATTAACTGCTTTGAATTGAGAAGCTATTCATAATCCTTCCCTCACCTGTTTCAAACACAATTCATAGTAAGTCATAGAACTTAAGTACATTTGTCCATTAGCTTTTGTGACAGTCTACCATCTTGAAATGATGTATTTTACAATAAGTGCAATTTATTTCACTATACAGATTGGGAAATCATAATTTAGTGTGATATAAACAATAATAAATAAATCTTAGTCTGACACATACTTGTTTTTCTTCCTTTCAGTCCTTTAGCACATTCAAGAAAAGTAATATAAGTTTTTGTTTAACATAATATCTGAACCAAAACATTATGGAAAGTAATAATTCAGGCTTCTCTGAAACAAGATTTCAAGCTGGCTTGTTTCATATATTAGTCAGCATTCATATTAACCACAATATGTTAGTTTGGTCAATAGAGCAAACCATTCTTAAAAAGAATTGGAAGCTTTCTAATTTCCAACTAATTGCCCCAGAAGAGAGAATGTTTATGACCTGTGAACCACAGCTGAATAAACTTCTGTCTTCAATTATATTCAATATCCTCAAGAGCTCTCATGAAGTCTCTAATCACAGGATTCTGTGATATGCCAAATGTATAAAAGCCCTTCCACTGATTTTAATATATTCATGTGTTTCTAAGAATAACTGCTAGTCTTAGTTCATTAAATGTGTTATTGCAAGTGTTATTTTTATAACTTTTTCAGGACACCATATTTTATTACCACAAATATTTGCAAATTCAGCAGTGCTGTGTTTTGAAATACTTTTCATTTTACCATCAATTTGGTGCCCTTTTCCCCTTGAGTAATTTTTTTTACACACCGGGGATCATCTTGACCACTATTTGCATATTGTCCTTAAACCCAGAAAAATCAAGAGTGCCTTTGCTTCAGCAAAATGTACAGTAGGTGTTTTTTTAAAAATGCCCTCATAATAGTAAGAGCCTTTGTTTTGCATACCATTGAACACAGGGGACTTGTTTCCCAGCCTGATATCAATACAGGTGTGTGATATAATTAGATACTATCCCTGATTGGGGAAGGTTGCAGCAGACCAAGATTATTGCAGGAATGTTTTCATTTAAAGCTGGAGTATACAATTTCAAAAGCAGGAAGGGTCAGGGTTCTTGTTTTTTTTTTAATGGTTTTCAGCGCTGAAATAGGTACTTTAAATCTCTTCTGCATGGAATCTCTTTCATCTACCTGAAACAGATGCTGCTGCTTCTGGGTCTTGTAAGCCTCAATCCTCCTTCAAATAATTTGCTTGGCAATTTCCCTGTTGCTGAAGCTGTCAGCTTCTCTCTCCTGCTCTGGCTGAATACTGCCATCTGAACCTGCTTATTCCTTTGCATCTGTAAGCTTGTTAGCAGCAGAGAAAGAAACCTGTACTGTCCAAGATGCTGCAGGGAGAAATGATTTGCACATTTTTGTTTTCTGCTTGCTGTAATTATTCTTGCTTTCTTTAACACTTTGTCTCTTTGTTTCCTTATCTCTTCGTCCTTTTCAAATTCTCGTTAATTCTTCTTCCTAGCCATGAAACAAGGCTAAATGTCTGCTCCATCCCTTCATCCCCAGGTATTTTTCTGCAGTTCTTTATCCATTTCCTAATTATTCGGTTTCATTTTTTACATTGGTGTTTATTAATTCTAATTTTCTTCACTAGCTCCAAACTGTCTAGTAGCAGATACATTTTGTCTTCATAATCTCCAACTCTTTTCTCCCTTGCCCACTTGCTATCCCCTGTTATGACTTTTTGATTACAAATCTGGAACTTGGCATTCAGGTTTTTTAACATATCTTGGCAAATTCCTATCCGTTTATCCCAACCATCCACACAGAGGTGGGATTCACTTACCTTCCCTACCAGTTCATAAATGTGAGTGCTCACATATGCCACCTCTGTGCATGCGCAAAGCTTTCTGAGCATGCGCAGTAGTCACGTATTATGTCTGGGCATGTGGGTGGAGCCTCCTGCAGTCACCATAGTGGTTCGCGTGATCCGGACAGAACCAGCTGAATCCCACCACTGCATCCACTCCAATACAACCATTCTGGTTCCATTTATTTGTGAGGCTATTCTTCTTTCCTCCAGAAGTCCATGGCAATATTTAAAAGACACAAAAAAGGCTTATATCCTATGTCAGACCTGCCTCAGCTTGATCCTCTAAGTAAGAATGATCCTTAACACCACTGGGTTGAGAAAGGTATACAGTAGTTTACTAGAAGGCAAGTGAAATATAGTAGTGCAAAACCAGAATTGAAATTCACGTTCCAAAACCCCAAGTGAAAAGTTTTCCTCCTTAGGCACATCCCATTGCCGGTCCCCCATTGTCCAATCAATTTCAAAGAGGATATTTTGGAAACGGCAGGCTGATTGTAGGCTGGATTGTAGCTGCATTCTTCTCATCACAGAGCGACCTTGAAATGTCCTCTCAAACAGGCACTTTCACTTTCTTAACTTTCACTTTCGCCTCAAGTCCTCTTCCTCCCTTTCAGGGTTCATGGCAAACTGAAATGATTGCGCAGCACAGGCATGAGGTCGCAGTTCTGACACCCCATTTATTTGACAGGAACTCCAGGGGCTATAGAAGAGGTATAGAACAGGCTGTACATTTTGCCCCGCTGTTTTTAAGTATAACTAAAGAAGTGTGATCAAAACATGATCTGTTGTGCAAAGATGATAAAAAGGTTCATGTGATCTCAGAGATCTCCTTAGAGTAAAAGGAAAGACAATCATTGTAGGGTTTTTTCCATTCTACAAAGTCAATGTTGTTCATTTCAACTGGGCATAATTAATTGCATAAAAATCAGTCAAACTATTTTACTTGCTTTATGCTGCATACAGTAGAGAAAAGCATCTCCTTTATTAGTTTACATTGTAAATATATTGGAGCAGATTTAATTTCTCTAAAAATTATAACATAAAACATCCATTAATAGTTTGGATTAAAGTACAGAGGAGGCTATCGTTTTAATCCAAAAGAAAAACAATAAAATCAAAATCAATTGTTGTGCTTTTGTTGTACACAGCAGAACCATTTCCAAAATATTTAGAAAACTGTCCACAACATAGTAATAATTGTTGTCTGTATAAATTAAATAAGATTTAATGACATTAATAAGAGGAAATGAACTTTACAGCACAAAGATGATATCATGGATGCAAAATGGCTCAGTAGGAAACAGCAAAATGAGAAATTTGGGGCTAGATAATCTGTGATATCAATAAGTGTAGAATAAAAATGCAACAGCAAATGTAGAAGTTAATTTATTCAAAAAAAAAAACCCTATCTTCTTCCCACAATCATAGGAGAGAACATGAAATTTAGCATAGATCACATATCCATGATTAACATTGCCAGAGGCCAGGCCAGGTGTAACTCAGAGATAGGAGTTTGCAAGCACCAGAAGGTGAAAATAAATGGTAACAGAAAAGGAGCATATTTAAGAGAGCTTGAACAGACAAGCTGTGTGATTTAGATCTATATTGAGCAGTCATGCTGCTGAAGTTAAACTAATTTGGTTACTGCCTAGGTGGAGAAAATTCCAAAACACAGTATAAACAATTTTGAATTCTATTACTGCAGATCACCACAGCATAAAGATTCAAAAAAAAAAAAAAGATAGGTAGTTGTATTCATAATTTAGTTGTATTTTCAATTGTATCTGAGTATTGTTAGGTTCCCAACTTCAGAATATGATGTTGGGAAAGATTAAAGTCAAAAGGAGAAGGGTATGGCAGAGGATGAGATGATTATATAGTATCATCCCTGCAATGAACCCTGAGAGACAGTGGGGGACAGAGGAGCCTGTCCTGCTATGGTATATATATATATATTTGTTTTCTTTTCTTTTCATAGGCCTTTATGTGTATTTCTCTTTAGCCAGGTTCTTCCTATGTAAACCAACATTTTTATGCAGCCCTAGTTCAGTGAAATCCCAATCCACTAGTTTCTAAGCTTTTTTTTCCAGCAGCCAGCAAGCTCCCTGCTTAGACTCCCAATGGGCAGCAGGGAGCTTGCTGGCTGCTGGAAAAAAAGCCTAGAAACTAGTGGATTGGGATTTCACTGAACTAGGGCTGCATAAAAATCTTGGTTTACGTAGGAAGAACCTGGCTAAAGAGAAATACATGCATGCATGCATGCATACATACATACATACATACATACATACATACATACATACATACATTTAAATTTGTTGGTAAAATGTGGACATCTTTAATTGAAAAGAACATGATTATTAAAATCATCATTTTAATTTTCAATATTATTACAGGCTGCAAATAACTTGGATAAAAGCACAACGAAAGCAGAAAGCGCTTGGCTGTTCAGAATATGGTATGGTTTTGATCATAAGTATCCTACTATTCCATTCGCACTAAATATTCATAGTAATAATTTCATCAAAGGGGGAAATAAGATGGATAAATCTGGTAAGATAATGAGAACTTTTCATTTTAAATCCTGTATGAAATTGTATTATTGATATAAAATACAAATAATGGTTGCAAAGAAGCCCCAAAATTTGGGGAAAGATGAAAGACACAAATAATCAAAACTAGGTAAATTTACTTAATCTAATAAAAGCATATTTATATTGATATGGACAAATTAATAGCACTGATATTGTTCAGTGAATAAACGAGAATCTTGTTTATTATTTATTTTAATTTTTAAAAGGAGGGATAGTAATTTCCCAGGAATGATGTGTGGAGAATGCAGGAGATGATCCAACTAATTCACTCAATTACTACTTTATATCACTGTGAGCTAATAGATTTTTGACTGTAGTGGATATTCCCATCATGGCTTAAGTAAGGTGACCAACTTTTTTACAATGAGAAGGAGGACAACTAAATTAAAGAAGAATGTGTGTGTGTGTGTGCCATGTCGTGTTTCAGTAAGAAGTAAACAAAGCCACTTGCGCGCGGTGCACTCTTGCACACAGCACACTCTCTCAAAACAATTCTCCTGTGCAGAGCGCATACGTCTCATAATTGTGTCTTGCCGCAATTGAATCATCTTGATGAATCGTCATGTCAAATACAAATACATCACATCACACACAACGGATCGGATCGGCATCAATCAAATACGAAGATTTACAGATTAGTCTTCAAATATCAAAAAGGGGGACATGTAGGTGGACACTTTTCGAGAGAGGACAGAACTTACAAAAGAAGGATTGTCCTCCCTAAAGGAGGACGATTAGTCACCTTTGGCTTAAACTGACCCTACCCAATCTGATGCCATCTGAATGTGTCAGCCTTCAGTTTTCATTTTCTCTAGCCTTTAGCCACTTTAAATGCAGGCTGAATGAAGTAAGTGTAGCCCCCAAAATATCCTTCCCTCTAATTGAAAATAAGTTAACATAAAACATGGTGGCCTCACTTCCTGCAGTTCCAAGCATAGAAAACATATAATTTGCGATTCAGAATAAAGGGGGGGGAGGAAGGAACTTAAAAGATTAATACCAAATAGATCAGAGTAGGCTTTAGAGACTTCTGCTGCTGATTCTATTTCTTCTTCAGAATGGAAATCGTTGACTGTGGATGTTTTGAAGGACATAAAATAATCTATATCATTACAGGAAGAAAATTGAAAATATGAGGATGTGGCATTGAATTGAAATCTGTGCTTCTATCTGTTTCAAAGAAGGGGGAGGGAGGGGCTTGTGTGAATAACAAGTTGTATGTTCCTTTCCAGCAAGAGAGGTGGCACACTCTGTCTCTTCAAGTATACAAACAACACAGTAGTCCTCCCAGCAGGAAATATGTTAATGTAAGAATATGAAGCCTTTGTCACGGTTGGCGTAAGCCGAGCTTCTGGATGGCATATCAAGGTTTGCAGTATATAAAATGAGAGGACTAGAACAAATTAAACTTGATTTAACTGATATTCAAGTGTAAATAAATATAATGAATTAGTACATTAGATAGAATGGGCTTTTCAAGTATTTAATAATTTTCTCTTTTTGAGGTATTAAACATGGCAGAAACGTTTGAAAAGGCTCTGTGGACCTCACACAAGGCTTCCATGGGTGATAAACAATCTGATTTTTCAAGTTGTTTACTTCTGCACTGTGAGATGAAAAGAGATCTGTTAAATAGCAGGCGGTTGAAGAAAGGACTTGACACAAAGTACAATATCTATGCTTTATTTAAGCTCCATAACAGCAATGGCGATTCCAGCCGCAGCAGCCCTTTTTAAGCCGGAGCTGTCCGCGGCTTCAGCCACTGATGTTTCTCTAAATTTCCCGCTCTCAGGATTAACTCCTGATTGGCTCATTTAAACTGTTACTTAATACTCAACACCCCTCCCACCTAGTTCAGCGTCCACCAATCCGGTGACTCCTAAGCTACGTAGTCACGTAAATAGGCGGGTCGCTTTGGAGATCGACTGGACCTGCGCAGTTCAGTCATTCCAGCGTTCTCGGAGTGAGAGGTCGAGTTCTGTTGTTCTCCTGGAGTCGGCTCTGGAACTCTCTTGAACTCGGATGCCGGAATGGATTTATTCTGCTTGTCTTCTTTTCCCGCTTCACTCGGCTGTCCTTGCAGATTTTCTCCGGCGATCGGTTCCTCCTCCTGGATCTCAGGTAAGTATTCGCTGTTCTCCTCTGGGTTTAAGTTTGTACTCCCTTGCACTGGTGCTTGTGGTCCGGTCCAATCTGCTGTTGTTTGCTTGTCTTTCCCTTTCTCCTGGTTGTTATTTTGTAATTCACTCTCGATTCTCGTTAGTCTTCCTCTGATCTGGTCTATATGTCTTTTCCAGTGCTGACCGTCTGCTGTTTGGACCCTGTATGATAATGGGCCCGTCACTTGTGTTATTTTTGCTGGCACCCAGAGAGGGTTTCCGCTCAGGTTCTTTGCGTATATTTTGTCTCCCGGCTGAAATTCTCTGGATGTGGCTTGTGGAGTCGGTCGGTTTCTCTGTGCTGTACTGTGGGTGCAGCCTGTCCAGCGGGGATCTCAACTTTCTCCCCATCAGCAACTCTGCTGGGCTCCGGTGGATTGTAGCACTTGGTGTGATATGTTGAATAGCCAGTAATTTATCTAATTTGGCCTGTATATCTCCTGGACCCAGTCTCGTTAGTGTTTCCTTCATTGATCTCACCATCCATTCTACAAGTCCGTTCATGGATGGCTTTTTTGGTGCTGACAATGCATGTCTTATTCCTTGGTCAGCGAGGAACATCTTGAACGAGTTCGCTGTGAATGGGGGTCCGTTATCTGAAACTATGAGGTCTGATGGGTTTTGCCTCGGTCTGCCCTGTGGTCCTCGTTCCTGTGGCCTCGTCCGAATGGTTCCTTCCTTCCGCTGGCCTGGAACTTTCTGTTATTCATTGGTCCTTCTGGAAACTGGCTGGAATGCCCTGCAAGCTCTTGCTATGTGCCCTTTTTTCTCACATCTCTGGCAAATAGCATCCCGGAACCTGCAGTCGGCCCGTGGGTGGTTGCCTTCGCATCCCGAGCACCAGGCCTCTTTTTTCCCTTGTTGCCTCTCTTTACATTTGGACTGGAGGTGATGGACTTCATCTTCCTCTTCTTCCTCCTCTGATTCTGACTCCACTTCCTCATAATGCACTGATGCCTCATCCCTTACTGGTGGTCCGTTTTTCATCTTTTTCTTAGCCGCTGCAGATTTCTGGGACGCTTTGGTTGCTGATGCGTCTTCCAGAACCTCTTGGAATGTAATCTGAGGTCTGGCTAGCAACCTCCTCTGCTGTCTGTGGCTTCAGCCACTGACGTTTCTCTAAATTTCCTGCTCTCAGGATTAACTCCTGATTGGCTCATTTAAACTGTTACTTAATACTCAACAAGATCCAGAAAGGGAAACATTATAAACATTTCATGCTATGCTGTTCCTCTTTATTATACCTTTTTATTTAATAAAGTCTATTTATTAAATTATTAAATATTAAAATGTAATAATATAGCAATAGCATGATACAATAAAATAAGTAATAAATATTATATAAATGTGTATTATATAAATAATAAAATATATAATATACCTTTTCGTTAATCTGACTATATATTAGATATTGTATGTTTTTAAAGGCCAGATGTTAGGAAATATGCAGAAAATGTCCTGCTTAGGAGTTTTTCTGTGGCATCAGGTTATCCACTTCTGATACAGAGTACGCGCTGGATGGATAAATCACTATGATCATGCAAAACTCCTATTGTAGTCTTAGATTGTCCGTTTCAAAATATAAAATATATTTGATTTTTTTTAAAAAAAAAAATGCCAGGGATAGAAATATAGAGCTGCATAAAGCCTGTCATTTGAATTGTGAAAGACCTGATGAGGGATTTTCTCTGAAAAGAGAGCAAAATCTCTGATAAAGACTCCTGAAGTATGTTTTGTTCATTTCTGGCTTTCCCCTCCTAATGCTTGAAATGGGCAGATGGAAGTCATATGGCAGGATTAATCTCCAATATTAAGCAGTGCATAACTGAGAATTTATGATAGGCTTTTTATCACTAATTGATTCCCCAGGTTCTGTGTTTCAAATCAAACTGTATGCCTGATAATATTTTGCAAACTGCACTTGAACTGAGGACAATTTGTACTCTAACAAACTGATTCTCCTTCCTATTGTAAAGATGAATCTTTCTTTAACATTATTTAACATAACAACTGACCTGCCATTATTGTACAATTGTATTTTCGTTTTCACAGATACACACACACACACACACACACACACACACACACACACACACAGAGTTATACAGATACTTATACATAAACATATTTCCACAGACAACTACAGTATATGCGTAAATCCCTGAAGATATTAACAATTCAAGTTGCTATTGCCAGGACTAAGCATTTCATATGCTAAATCTCATTCTGGAAAAAGCTTCAGCCGCTTAGAGGCACACCAATCATCCAAATGAAATGCTCCTGCAATCTCTGTGTCCTTCTTTTAGCAATAGTATGAATTGTTGTCTATGGAACTCAGAGGCATTAAGTAATATATTTATCCTGCATTATTTAAGAAAGGAAAACCCTTGTGCCTACTTTTTCTCCAGATGATACAACTGGGGAATAACGCATATTGCGTCTGGAGATAGAAAAAGGTTTTTTGCTTAGGTGTGATCAAGCTTATTTATTTTATCCATTTATTTATTTATTACAAATATTTTAAGCCACTTAAATTAGGCAATTCTGGCATTAAAATACTTGCAAGAAATCAAGTGGCTCTTCCTTGTAGCACATTATCTTCATATATTATTTGAACTGGTTTCCTTCTATACCAGGGGTCAGCAACCCCCCCAAAAAAAAAAACCTGCGGCTCTGGAGCCCCATGCGGGGCTCTGCTGCGGCTCCCTGTCACTCAAAATATG